AAAAAAAAAAATAAAACCGAAAATGGAGGGGCAAAACAAATACAGCGAAGGGAGTCCATAAGGTGGTTGCTCCCCAGGGAATGCAAGACATCGCGTGGAAGGCGTGAATATTGCCCGGGTGTTCTTTGCAAGTTTGGTGCGATGTCGAACTGTCAAGACAGCGCCGACCGAGGAGTGACCATAGTCATCAGCACAATAGGTGGTTGCCTGCGCTTCTATTTGTGGAGCAGCTTTCGGCCGGTGGCCTCGAATTTGGGGATACCGAGTGGCGAGAGAATTGGAACGCATTCCCGGTCGTTGGAAATTCCCAGAGGAATTAAGCGTTTTGTTTTTTTGCGAGAGAGAGAAAATCCCTTTTGTTTTTTTTTTTGGGGGGGGAGAACACATGATGTTTCGCGTGTCTCGGACTATATACGCCTGAAGGAAATGAAGCCACGGAGGATACGAGAAATGACTTCTACGAGCACCCGGTTAACAACATTGGCTTGGAAGACTACGCGAAGGAGCTGGCATTCCTGCCGGACCTGACCGAAGAGATCAACACGACAGTAGACTACAGTGCGTCTAATGTTGCTGTTCCCCGGCTGTCGACAGATCGCAGGGAACGTCTGGTTGCGACGCTGAAGAACCACGAGCACATTCTGATTGCTAGTGGTAACGCACTATCGCCGCCAGCCTACGGCGCGGAATGCGATATCGACACACAGGGGCACCCCCCAATTAAACAGCGTGCCCGGCGCGTGCCGCTACGATTCCTCGGCAAACTGTACGAGCTGCTGCGTGCTTTGTTGCGAGCAGGACTGATTGTCTTTTCAGATAGTCCATGGGCATCGCCGATCGTGATTGTGATGAAAAAGAACGGGCTGGACATCCGGCTCTGCATTGATTACAAGATGGTGAATGCTATCACCGCGATCATGGAGTACGCAATGCCGCTAGTCGACGATCTGTTGACTGTCTTCGAGCGCTACCTATGGTTCTGCTCGCTGGATGCAGCAAGCGGCTTCTGGGCGGTCATGATGACCTTGCGAGCACGTAAAGTATCAGCGTTCGTCTGCGCACTCGGACATTTCGAGTGGTTACGCATGCCCTTCGGGTTAAAGAACGCGCCGATGATCTACCAGCGTATGATTGACAACGCACTTTGGGGGTTCGTTCAACCTAAAGACGGTTGGTTTGAATAATCGGAGAGGATGCGTTTAGCTGAAGAATAGGCCAAGGAACGTCGTGGGCCAAGCACCGAGGGTTCGTTTCAAACGAAGTTTGCGACAGACCGCGAAGCACCGGTAGAGACTGACCCTGTACTACAACTCGTTAACAGCCCCGTCGCTGACATGTTTACGAACGGGGAACCGGACGAATCATCGCTGGTACCTGTGTTTGGTCGACGGTCGTTTGTGGATGATATTTGCTTCGGTGGCGAGGATTTCGACAGCTGCCTGGCGACGCTGGACCGATTGCTGGCAAGATTTGCACAGTGTCGGATCAACATTAGCTCTGCCAAGAGCATCTTCTGCCAACCCAAGGTAGACTTTCTGTCGCATAAAATTTCGCCAGAAGGTATCAGAGCTGACCCCAAAAAGCTTGCGGCCATCACCGAGCTTTCGTTTCCAACGAGTAAGAAGGGCATGCAGTCGTTTCTTGGAGCGGTTAATTACTACAGCCGCTTCATACAAGACTTTGCGGTCTACGGTGCGGCGCTGTACCAGCTTAAGGATGAAGACTTTGTCGTTGAAGGTGGCCTTTCTGTGGCACGTCGTTCCTTCGAAAACCTGAAGACGAGTGTTTCACATTCACCCATCCTAAGGCACTTCGACCGGTCGATGAACGTTCATGTCATGCTCTTTGCGAATGAATGGGCGTTGAGCACTACGCTAATGCGAGAACATGAAGGCAAGTTACACCCCGTACGGTTCCTCGGTCGTGTGCTCAAGGAGGCCGAGATGAACTACCATCCTGCCGAGAAGGAAGTTTTGGCGTTACTTCTGCTGTTGAAGATCTGTTATGTCCAGCTGGCAGGAAAGACACTACATGTCTATACACGATTCTCGACGTTAGAGTGGGTGCACAAGTCGAAGTCTCTCTTCGGACGCGCGGTCCAGTTCGCCGTACTGCTTTCGTAGTGGCATTTGAAGGTGCAGCGCGTGAAGGAGAAAGATGTCACATTCACGCAGCTACTGTAGTCAAGCATCACGAGCTTCGTCGACCTGGAAGACTCGCTCGCGCCGGTGGCACCTCCAAACAAGGGTTCCCCGACTATTCGAATGGACCCCGCGTTGCTGTACGCCAGGCTTCCCCGACTATTTGAGGCATTTGGCTACCTTAAGAGAGTCATAGTTACTCCCGCCGTTTACCCGCGCTTGGTTGAATCTCTTCACTTTGACATTCAGAGCACTGGGCAGAAATCACATTGTGTCAACACCGTCTCCGGCCATCACAATGCTTTGTTTTAATTAAACAGTCGGATTCCCCTTGTCCGCTCCAGTTCTGAGCCGGTTGTTCAACGCACTAAGGAAACAGCAGCCAGCCCGAAAGCCAACTACCTTTCTCTCCGGCACAACAAGAGCAGCCCGACCGCCAGGCCGCATCCGGTCCCCGAAAGGTCCAGACGCAGCCCAACGTAGGCCGCCACAAGTTCTCCAAAAAGACCCCTAGGCCCAACCCTCAGAGCCAATCCTTTTCCCGAAGTTACGGATCTATTTTGCCGACTTCCCTTATCTACATTCTTCTATCAACTAGAGGCTGCTAACCTTGGGAGACCTGATGCGGTTATGAGTACGAACGAGGGTGCGAATAAATCTCTAGCCAGGATTTTCAAGGGCTGTCGGTGGGCGCGCAGGACACTTCAAAAAGTAAAGTGCTTTGCCAAGGCATCCTCCTTATCGCCGGATAATCCGTTTCCAAGGTAGGATATGCTTGTTAAAAAGAAAAGAGAACTCTTCCCTGGGCACACGCTAGCGTCTCCTGGGTCGGTTGTGTTACCACATATTATCCACGTCTCGGTTCAGGAATATTAACCTGATTCCCTTTCGATACACGAGGCTGCATACAAAACGCAAGGACGAACCCCACGCCTACAGAACAGCCCAGCTTCAAACGGAATTATCCTATCTCTTAGGA